GCGCCGATAATTATTTCGTTGTTGCGTAAAGGTGCTGTTTTATTTAACCGCACGCATAAAGCCAATGTCATTGATCAATCCCGCGCAGTTTGACATCAGGTGGGGCGACGCAGAGGGGGAGGTTTGGGCCCCAATTGACTTGTTCTTGGCACGACGCGCGGAGCGTGGCGGGGCGTGGCGTGGCGGTGATATAGAACACGTGTCGGAAGTTGGCGCCTCCCCGGCCCTTAGTCCTCGTTTGCTTTTGCACGCAAGCGGATCATCTCAATTGTGTCCGAGAGACGTGGGGGGGGGGGGGTTAAGTAGAGGGAGGGGAATAATGCAAGGGGAAAGGCAAAGTACAGTCTTTTTTTTTGCTCCCTGACGTAAAACTGTGAAACAGTATATCTAGTGCAGGATCCACGACACAGTGAACAGAAAATATAATCACAAATGAAGATCATGCAAATTTTTTGCGAGCACGAGCACGGGTTTTGTATTTCTTTGTTAGGACCATACGGGTGAATAGAAGTAAAAAAAAATAAAAATAAATCTGGAACGCGGTAGGATCCTCCGGAGGTCTTTACTTTGGTGTGATGGATTTCCGGAGGAGCAAATCATCGACAGCAAAATGTCCCACTCAATTTCTGATCTATTTCGGACAATTTCCTGCGCCGCTCTCATCTTTTTGTCTTTTGGTGGCACACCCGGGGCGTAAATCTCCGCAGCAGCAGCAGCCGTAACGGGGCGCGGCCTGCAGAAGGGAGTTGTGGTACAGTTTATTACGCGGAGTTTCATACACACATCCGCTGCCATCTTCGCTCACTCGAGATGGTCCTGTCCCACCTACTCGCGTCTCTCTCTCCCTCTCGCTCGTCTCTCAGGGACTGATCGGCGGCGGTGGCCTATACCGATCCCCGCGCTGTTGTGCAATACTTTACCCCCCCTCCCCCGATTGTTCCTATATTTGATGCCCCCTGGCTGGCCGCCAGCCCCACCGTGTGGCCGTCTGTCTGCGCCGCTGAGGCGGGGACGGACGGCCCGTGCGACACCCCGCGATAATCAATCAGATTCATTAATCAGTGCGATTCGCGGCGTGGCGGGGCGTGGCGGGGCATGGCGGGGCGTGGCGGGGCGTGGCGGGGCGGGGAGGCGTACCCCCCCATCTACCTATCTACAACCCTGGCCCGACTCCATTCATTGGCGCTGCAGTCGCGCTGCTGTATGACAATGTAATGGGTTACTGCTCGCGGTGCAATGCTGTTAAAAGGGCTGCGGTCTGCGTCCGAAAGCGCAGCAGCGGGCGAGGGGAGGGGAGGCAGCGGGTGAGGGGAGGGGAGGGAGGGGG